ATGTTCAGCTGTGGAGATGGAAGCAGGAATGGAAAGGGCAGCCCCTCTCCCTGGGTTGGTACCACCTGGCCTGTCTCCCTCCCACAAGTCTCCCACCAGAGTCCTGCTTCAGACAGAAGTGCCAGAAGCTTTAATTGCACTCAACCTCTGTCTGGCTGCCTGCTCTGCTGTCCTGCCTAATCAGTCTTCTTTGACTGGAAACTCAATAACCCTGCAGAAAGTCTGCAGTCATGCTTTGAAGTTATTTGCATCCAGTCAGAGAACCTTTCAGTTCTAGTTCTAAACTGAATGCCTCATTGGTTTCAATCTCCTGATATATGGGGCAGCTGGACTCTACTGCCATCACACTGGGCCATAGTTCTTAGTCACATCAGGGAATTCATGTGTAAAACTGACAGAATTGTAAATCTCTTCATGGTGGGTAAGAAAGGGAAGTAACCAGTGCTAGTCAGCTAAACAGTTATGCCATGTGAGGAGTTTGGTTTCAAAGGGGAGTAGGGCTTACACGCCTTGCCCTGGTTTGTTGAGGGCAGTTTGAGGATTGGCTAAATTTCTGATGGAAAACATGCTGTAGTTTGACTCAGGTACCTCCTAGAGTTAAAGATGTTGCCATTCACCACCCAACCCCAGTGAACCCCCAGGGCTGTATAGGGTTCAGCATCCTACCGGGGACCCCATACAGCCCTGGAGACCTTGGACTTCTCCCTTCAACCAGTAGGCTTCCTATCATCTTTCTGCACTGCTCCAGGCAGCTTCAGTTCCAGTCTTGGCATTTATGGTTTACCTTGGAGAAACAAGCTCCACCTCCCATCTGTCAGGTGCTACAAAGGGCTGAGCTAGTGGGAAGACTCAGCACTGTCACTTCCTCTCCCTCTCAGCAGATTTGGCCTCCACGTCAGCCCTGTCCACAAGCCCAGGAATGCACAGGCCAGCATCGATATTTATCTCAAGGTGACACTTGTAACGGATGGCTGCTGCGCTTCTTAATCCATTTATGTAATCCTTCCTGCTTTGCTTGCAGTTATTTTCAGGGCTTTCGCAGCAATAAAATGGTTCCTTTCCCAAGACTGAGTTCATTCAATTTAAATCTGGATTGATTGTAGCTAAAGTTATGACATGTCTTTACAAAGAATGAAAGAAAACAGCAATAAATTATACACAATGATTATTTAACATTTATTCAGTGCCCACAGAGTGCTGGACTCAGCATATAACAGCTGGAGGTAAACCCTTGCCCTTGAGAATTAAAGCATCTTTGCACATATTAAAAGGCACACAGGGATGGGGTTAGCAGACTCTTGGTTCATACTTACACCTTCTTTTCCTTCTGTTTCTCTTGGATGCATTTCATTGGCCTTTGACCTCCTCTACCCCCAATTCCCTTGCTCCCCAAGCAGATTTGGTTTAAGAGTAAGACATTTAGGCT